TCCATTCATGGTGGTATTGACAGTATCCTGGGTTTTGTGCCAAAGTTGGACACTGATCAGCGTACCACTCACTGTCTTTGCACCCTACGGGAGGAAAAGAATAACAGATTCAAACGGGCGCTAACTGTTTGCCAAACTGATGTCTTCGAAGCAAAACAGTTAAATGTTTCTCTCTTATAGTCGATTTAGCTCAAAAGTACATGTGGTAAGGAGCAATGTCTGTTTGAAAATATTTTGTTTACTTGAGTTACGTAGGAGAACCGTTATGATATGCGGAATTAAAAAGCAAAATTACGACGTAACGGGGTGTGTGCTCTCCTTTATTGTACGAAAGAGACAAGTCAGGTACATGATAGCAAAATAATTGACAGAGAATTAATAAAGACCTCTACGTGTACCAATCAAGACGTCAGTAGAAGAAGTCTGATCTGTTTGTTATAGAGATTCGACGTCAAAACTTGAAAGACTTTTCGGTATAGTGGGTAATCTTGTGAACATGTTAGCAATACTATTGGTTAAATATTCCCACTAAATCTTAAAAGGTAAAGACGCACACGATCGCAAGCCAAAGGCCCAAACGGCAGGATGGACGGGATGCCAGTTCATCGCACGGTTACCCCCCAGCAGTATGTCGCAGGTACCCATTCAGACACCTGGGTGAAGACATCGAGGCAAAGTGGAGTAAAGTTCCTTGTCTAAGGAAATAACGAGACGGGCGAGGCTTGAACCCCAGACCTCCAGGGGTTCGAAGTGACTGCTCGGCCACACACGCCTCCACAAGATCCTAAAGCTAACTAAAGGCAATCAAAAATTCTGATTCTCAAGAAGTTTCGAACTGTATCTGTTCAGTCCTAATATATTTACCTGAGGGTGCTATTGTTGTTGGCTTTGGAGGTGTTGGTGCTTGTGTCGGTTTCGGAGGGGTTGGTGCTGGTGTCGGTTTGGGCGTAACACCACCTGAAATTTTGCTCCTGACCCATGAGCTAAGATATCGAACATTGGCGTATACGCCAAACCTGCCTGGTGCAGCACATCCGTATCCCCAGCTAGTTACTCCTTCCAGTTGCCATTTGCCATTGTACTCACAGACCAGTGGTCCACCACTATCACCCTGACATGCATCCACCCCACCTTGATCTAGTCCCGCACACAACATAGAGTCATGGATCTTTCCAGGATATGCTTTCAAGCAACGGGTCTTCGACACAAGGGGCACATCTACCTGCATTAGTTTAGTTGGAGAAGCTCCCCCCGAAGCCAGTCTTCCCCAGCCGGTGATCCAACACTTCTTGTTGGAGTTGTCTATCGGTAACGGTAGATTAGCATCTGGCAGACAAACAAGACCAACTCCTTTGCCCAGTTTTGCAGGCTTTGCCAGCTTCAATAGCGCAATATCATGGCTGTATGTTTGAGGGGAATGACATTTTTCGTGTATATAGATTTCTGCCACGTCAATATCTTGTTCGGTCCCAACAGTACCAGTTGTGCGGAAATGCGCTCCTAACCTAAGTAAGATATTTAACGTCATAAAGGGTCAAAGTCATTATTCAGAATTCTATTATTATTATTATTATTATTAATTATCATTATTATATTTAATGAACTCAAGCGACAGTGAAATATTTTGCTAACAATCATTGAAGCTAAGAGGAAAATTAAATATTTGTCAAATTCAGTAAGGCCACGTAACTAGCTCACCATAAAAAAGCTAGGCTGAAAGAAAAAGAAAGAGGAAAAAAAGGCAACTGAAAAAAGTCTTTGTATGGCGCAATCAACTATTTTATAATTTTTATAACAATTTTATAAGTGCTTGGGTGCTCAATGTATTGACCCTCCTAGATGAAACTAAAAAAAAGCTCTTTCTCCCCCCCCCCCCCTTTTTCTAAAGGAAAAACACATCTCATGCAATCTAAATGAAAATGAAAAAAAAAATGTTTGAATTAGCATATGTACAACGAATTTTATACCTGATTTTTACTTGTGATGGATTGGAATTTGTGAGACAATGTGTTGCTGAGACAACCCAGTAAGGGTCGATCAGTGACCCTCCACAGAACGGAAATCCATAAGTTGACCTTAATTGAACTTGCCAAGGCCAGCTGTTCACAGCTGCTTCATGGCCTCCGACAATTCTGGTGTGGGGACGAGAACCACAATTCCCTGGCAATGAATGTTATAAGACAAAAAACAATTTGAAGGTAACTTTCATTTGCTCGTTCTTTGAAGGATGCAAAATAATGTGGTAAACGAGGTACGACCTACATGGTGCTATCCTTTTTTTTCAAAGAGAAAGAGTCAGGTACATGATAGGGAAATAATAGACAGAGAATTAATAAAGACCTCTACCAATCAGGACGTCAGTAGTAGAACTCTGATCTGTTTGTTATAGAGATTCGACTTCAAAACTGGAAAGACTTTTCGGTATAGTGAGTAATCGTGTCAACATGTTAGCAATACTGTTAGTTAAATTGTCCCACTAAATTCCTAAATTGTAAAGGCGCACACGAGCCAAAGGCCCAAACGGCAGGAGCTTATCCCGGTTTCCGTAGCATTAGGTAAGTCTGGAGTATTGCTACTCCGCCATGGACGGGATGCCAGTCCATCGCAGGGTTACCCCCCAGCACTATGTCCCTGGTACCCATTCAGACACCTGGGTGAAGACATCGAGGCAAAGTGGAGTAAAGTTCCTTGTCTAAGGAAATAACGAGACGGGCGAGGCTAACTGCTCGGCCACACACGCCTCCACAAGATCCTAAAGCTAACTAGAGGCTTTCAAAAATTCTGATTCTCAAGAAGTTTCGAACTGTATCTGTTCAGTCCTGATATATTTACCTGAGGGTGCTATTGTTGTTGGCTTTGGAGGTGTTGGTGCTTGTGTCGGTTTTGGAGGGGTTGGTGCTGGTGTCGGTTTGGGCGTAACACCACCTGAAATTTTGCTCCTGACCCATGAGCTAAGATATCGAACATTGGCGTATACGCCAAACCTGCCTGGTGCAGCACATCCGTATCCCCAGCTAGTTACTCCTTCCAGTTGCCATTTGCCGTTGTACTCACAGACCAGTGGTCCACCACTATCACCCTGACATGCATCCACCCCACCTTGATCTAGTCCCGCACACAACATAGAGTCATGGATCTTTCCAGGATATGCTTTCAAGCAACGGGTCTTCGACACAAGGGGCACATCTACCTGCATTAGTTTGGTTGGAGAAGCTCCCCCCGAAGCCAGTCTTCCCCAGCCGGTGATCCAGCACTTCTTATTGGAGTTGTCTATCGGTAATGGTAGACTGGAATCTGGCAGACAAACAAGACCAACTCCTTTGCCCAGCTTTGCAGGCTTTGCCAGCTTCAATAGCGCAATATCATGGCTGTATCTTTGAGGGGAATGATATTTTTCGTGTCTATAGATTTCTGCCACGTCAATATCTTGTTCGGTCCCAACAGTACCAGTTGTGCGGAAATGCGCTCCTAACCTAAGTAAGATATTTAACGTCATAAAGTGTCAAAGTTATTATTCAGGATTTTATTATCATTATTATTATTGTTATTTTTAATTATCATTATTATATTATATAAACTCAAGCGAGAGTGAAATTTTTTGCTAACATATTGAAGCTTAGGGAACAATTAATTATTTGCCAAATTTGGAAAGGTCACGTAACTTAAAGCTGACCATAAAAAAGCTAGGCTAAAAGAAAAAAAAAGAGAAACAAAAGGCAACCGAAAAAAGTCTTTGCATGGCACAAACAACTACTTCATAATAAAAATTTTGTCGGTGCTTGGGTGCTTAATGTATTTATCCTCATAGATAAAAAATAAAAAGAAGAACGTTAACACACTACATCTCACGTAAACTGAATGAAAATTTAAAAAAAAAATGTTCAAATTAGTATAAGTACGACGAATTTTATACCTGATTTTTACTTCTGATGGTTTTGTACTTCCGAAGAGATTTTTGAGACAATGTGTTGCTGAGACAACCCAGTAAGGGTCGATCAGTGACCCTCCACAGAATGGAAATCCATTAGTTGACCTTAATTGAACTTGCCAAGGCCAACTGTTCACAGCTGCTTCATGGCCTCCGACAATTCGGGTGTGGGGACGAGAACCACAATTCCCTGGCAATGAATGTTATGAGACAAAAGTCAATTAGTTTTATTTGCTCGTTCTTTGAATGATGCAAAATAATGTGGTTAACTAGCACAGTTTTGTTCAGTTTTGTTTGCGATTCCCCCATGCCAGTCCTTCTTCTTTTGATTTACGTTACAGTCGTATAGTGTATTATCGCACGGTAGTTTGGTACATAGTTTTGATCAGAGTCAGGGAAAGAAGCTTGGCCAAAATCGTCCAAACGTGTACGTAAAACTTGTTTTAAATAGACTGACTTTCATTTTACGACTTCTCAGCCAACGATATTATTGTTTGTCATTCATTTACATTTATCTCTTAAGGCATAGGAGAAGTCAGTACACTGATAGGTAAAATTGCGCTGGGGTGATCCACCCAGGTATGTTTTGTATCACGAAAATAACAACAGAGAAACGATCGGGAAGAGAGGTGAAGTCGTGCTGGTGCGAAAATCTTCTAGGTATCACGTATAGTAGTTTTGGCAGAATGCAGAAAAAGGCGGAAGAATTTGTACACAAGATGTGCCGAATTCACGGCTGCCTGAAAAAATTAACACAATTACACAAAAATTCCTCTCGAGAAGTCCTGGTTAAATTATTTTTGCAAGTCTAGCCACAGAAAACAACAACAAAAAAAATTCACTCAGAACCTTTAAATGCTGTTAAAAGACATCAGAATGTGTTTTGAAGGATGTCCCAGGAGCTTGGTGGATCAGCCTTCATAATTATAACTCGTCAATCTTGTTTAGCGAGAATACATTAAGTTAAAATACAACCAATAAAATTACTAGTATTGTACAGGTTCACAACGTATATTTACCTGCGGAAGATGTAACAGTGCATAAAAGGCAAGACAGTACCAGGATTACTGCATCCATGGTGCTCCAACAACGAGCAGGGAAAATATATAGCCGGTTTAACAAACTAGATACCACTTTGTTTTATAGTCTCGAATCCTTTATAGGTGCTTGCCTCGCATAGCACCTTTTAAAAAGTACCTTTAAATAAATACAGACTTATTTTCGTGGATCTTATTCTTTTTTCTAAAGACGCCTGACTATATTTTTCAATAGGATTCGAAGAGCCACCTTTTATTATTATTGCAGCTGTTATTACTACAAGTTAAAGTGTGTCTTGAACGTCGAAGGATCATTACAACTGGTCAAATAAAAGGACATTTTCCAGTTTCTTTTTGTTAAAACAATTGTTTCTTACTTCATCTTTTTTCAGTAAAATGAACCTTTAGACATTGTCGACCATTTGTTGTTGCATTTGTTCAATAACAGAATAGTGCCAATATCTCTTTCATTCCATGGTCGGTCATTTATGTCTTCTTTCAAAAATTGAAGTGCACTTAATGTACAAATACTTGTAGAGAATTGTGAGTTTATTTATTTAAAGGTATTTCGCTTTCTTGTATACATTTATTTTGCTTTATGGAAAAATCTCATCATTAAATTTCAGTAATTCTGAAAGGCAACTAAGATCTTTAGTTTTGATTAGGCTATCACGGATTGCCGCGCCTTTATTCTTTCCTCAGTCTTGATTCTCAAAGCAGAAGATATACAACTTAAAAATACGTAATGTTCCGGAGTGTTTACATGTTAAATGGAAATAATTCAAAACTATTAAAAACCCAGTCTTAAAAAGTTTCTATTACATGAAAAACGGTTAGCTATTGAAAGTGTTTTGTGCAAGGCTGGCGTCTGGGAACGGGGTACTACTGAAATATATGGATAGTCAAGCTGAAATTGTTGAGATTGACTTTTTTTATTTCGAAAAAAATATATCTTCTTTTTAATTATCTAAGTTGAAATGGACTGGGTCCAGCTTAGTGTTCAGTTATTACTTGTAGTTTTCAGTTTAATGTGTAGCAGCAAGGGCTTCTATTATTGTAGCAATGCAGCAATAATTTGGTATAAAAATTGACCGATTCCAAAACAATATAGAATCTCTTATCGCGTACCCGATATCATTTTATGAGCAGATGACAAGCATCCTGGTTAGAGATGTTACAAAGGAGGATCAAACTTGCCGAATTGCCTGTAATATATATTTTTTGATGCAATGGTTTTCAAATCCCACATATAAAACACACACACCTACACTGCAAGTTTAGTTACCGCATGAAAAATGGAAACGCCCTTCATTGGCTATGCGTACACACAGCTGACCAATGTGTGAGTCCCGAAAGACACCCGTGTACAAAACAATAGTAAATAAAGTATGCTTTAGACTAAATAAAGGTTAAATAAGAACAACCAGTCTGCTTGGTACATGTACCTTTGGTGTTGTGGAAGTATTTATCAAACTACAATTATAATGGCCAAAATTGATCTCTAGAGGTGGTTAAGTTGTGTGGGTGATGAAAATCATAATTCTTCTTTCATATTTGTGATTATGTTTATAATAATAATAATGATTATTATCATGATTATTACTATTTAGCGTTTTTAAGAATTCGAATTCGATCCTACTAGTGTCTTATTTCTTCTCGTTAAAAAGGTTTTAAACCAAAACCATGTTTTGAACCATACGTACCGTTATTTGAACATTTGCTTCACTCACGGTGTTCAAGTATTTGTAATGTACTGTTTATCATACAACTAGCACTAACCGTGAAAAACCCCTTCCTCAAAAGGGTACGCCGACAAAAGAGTTCTTTTGTCTTTGGTCAAATAACACGTTATAAGAACTGAAAGCAGGTTAGTTCCTTTGTAACTTTACCAAAAACGAGTTTGTTTAGTGGCTGCAGATGAATCCACTTCCCTAAGGTGAAACTTTGTGTCTTTTGTTTACCCTCTTATAAATGTGTTGATCGCAAAGTGTATGATCAGCTTCATGCTCTGAACAGTTGAAATTACGGCACCAGCATGAAGTCCATCCTCTTGATGATTCTTTCCTCACTGGTCTCCACGTTTGCCAATCCTGAAGGTATGATTTTCCTTAGCGCTGGCATTAAGATAAGGCTAAAACAAAGTGAGGTTTTAATTCACGTTAACTTGGAAAAAAAAATTTAAAAAGAAGTAGACGCACTAAAAGTTACCACAAGTTTTATTGTAGACACAAGAGTCGATCTACAAAAAGCCTGCTTGCGTGGTAATATTTTTCTCATTTTATTTACCTTTTTAATAAAATTGTAAGCAAATGGCCAGGCTTCTAAATGAAATGATAAATTAAGCGCATGACTTTAAGCTTAACGTACGTCTGAACAACTTAGCACAGCCTGTGTTGTCCATCAAACTCGCCCGGGAAACGCTTGCCAACGCAAGGCAGCATGCCCAGGTTATAGTCTAGTAGGAATGATTCCTATTTTCTTAAATTTATTACTTGATAGAAAACTCAAAATTAAGGGTGGTGTTTAACAAACATTCCAGACATTGTTTCAAACATACGACATACGTTGCATCAAAAATAAGGACAAAATAATGCCACTGAATTGCAACTGCTTAAAGAATAATTATTGACGGCTGAAATACACTTTCGGATCCTTGTTGTAGTTTATTTTAATTTGCTATTTTTCCATGAAATTGCTACAAAAAAAAAACTTACATAAAAATTAATTATGACTAAAACAGGGGGAAACTGTAAGGATGAACAGTTTCCATGCTCTAACTGCAGTCCCTTGGCTTCTTCAATTTTGTCCATCAGTGCCTTTTTTGAACCCTTACTGTTTCAACTTCGGTTAACTTCTGCAATTTACTGTTCAAATTCAACTAGGGGCTTTTTAAATTGCTGACAACTGACCTTGCTTAACTGGTTTTGGGTATTTTAAAATAGTCGCTTGACACATATTCTTCAATTCTCTCAATATTATCCAATAAATTTGTTTCTCCTACAGAAAATTTAAACTCCAAGGATGATCTCTTTGAAGGGGATATGCGGTTTACTAACTATCAGAAAGCTGCCGCTAGAGGTCTGATTCGGTCAACGATTAAGACCAAGAAATGGACTGGGGCTGTTGTTCCTTATACCATCCATTCTTCGTTAGGTAAGAAGTGACAGGAGCACAACATCGTATTCGACTCGTCTTTAAGGGGCTTTTAAGGCCAAGAAAAAAAGAAGCAAAATGTTTCTCTCCCGGATTTCTTTAAAAAAGAGAGCGGAGGGCCTTTTTTTGCTTGCTTTATTATTGCCGATTGAATGCTTCTTTACAAACTATTACCCTTCCCCAGGGCTAAGTTGAAGTTCTTCGGTAAGATATTAATTAATGACACATCAGATTTGATTAAACACAAATTTGGTTTATTTTGATACATGTTCTAAAAACAGGCGATTCGACATACGACATATCTTAATAGGTAGGGTAATCTCGAAAACCCTTTTAAAAACAAGTTTTCCGTGACTTCATACGTGTGGCGGTACTCTAATAGATAATAGGGAGCTTAAGATCCGACGACGGCGACGGCAACGAGAACGCCACAAAAGCAATAGGTTTAATAACCAAAACAACAATTTTGCACGTGCATCACGCTTTTTTGGACATTTCTTTGCCGTCACTGCACGACTAGGACGTGAAAATACCTAATTTCACCATGCACAGAGGAAGTACAAAAGCGACAACGAGATTTCCTCTCTCCTTATGAACTTGGATATGGTTCTTAGGAATTCAACTTTAGGAGGGTTCGCTTACATTTGACAAAGTTAGACAGTGACTTGGAGTAATCGCGATGAAGATTGAAAGAACGCGAATTCACTTTTTCCGCGACGTTTTCTCTGCCGTCACCGTTGTCTGAACTTAAGGTCCCTAATAATTGCAACGATCAATCTTAGCGCGCAAAGCTCTCACTGCATTGTGTAAGAAGAAATAAAGAAAATCATAATAAGGTACTGCGGGTAGTTTGGGGGTGGGGATGGTGGGGATGAGAGGTGAATAAGACAAACATGATGAAGACGAGTTACAAAACTTCGTTTACTTATTTTCATTTTGATATAGCAAACGAACAATGGGCAGTGAAGGCTATTAAAGGAGGAATTGCGGAATGGGAACAAAAGACATGTTTACGTTTCAAACAAAGATCAAATGAGAGGAGTTACCTGGAGTTCTTTTTGGGAAGTGGGTAGGGAGAAAGATTTCTTGCCTTGTTGATACCCCATTTCTTAAAAGAAAGGTCAAAACTGAGCATAATCTTTTCTATAATTAACTAGAGCCTGATTTCGTTTTTATAGTGTATACTTGTCTTGTTACCATTGCGCTTGAATAGAATTCGGCGATTGAACAAATTTAACCAACTTTTTGCCCAAAAAGCAAGGAAATAGATCGGAATCCTTAATCATAGTTCATATTTCTTGTCAAATTTTGGTTCCTTTTTTTTAAAACAGAATAAAAAAAAATAATACAAAGCAGAAAAATTTTAAAAAACCGAGAAACTTAATGACATTATGACAATGAGTTCAATCATCATCATCACAATCATGACAATCTTCACGATCACGATCACGCTCAACTATCACAATCACCATCAAAGAGTACCACAACCATCACAATCCACTACCACAGTCATAATCATAATAATTATCATAGTCATAGTCATATTCCCGGGTAGAGAATTTAATGTGCTTTTCCCGTCATTATTGTCATCCCCACCACAATCACGATAACGATCACGATCATAATCATAACAAAAATCATAATCCTGATAATCATAATTTTAATCAACCATTATCATCATCGTAAAATACTACTATCATAATACTGGGTAGAGAAGTTGTGCTTTACCCGTCATCATCGTCATTGCCATATCATTCACGACTTAACGGGAGTGGAGGAGTATGCAGTCGTTACAGAAAGCTTGTTTTTCAATAATAAAAGCGATGGGTATAGGCTAAGGAGACAGGAGGACACGTAATAAAAATAGACCATTTTAAAAACCTAAGAAAACCTTGTGAAATCACAATACTAACACCAATACTGTACTTAGTCCAAGGATAATAATAATAATAATGATAATGAAAATTATTTTTTTTAAGTCATAATGTAATTTTTCCTTTAGTTGCTGGTCATGGGTAGGAATGAATGGCGGAAAACAGCAAGTCTCGCTCGGCAGAGGTTGTTGGTATACAGGTGTTGCAGCTCACGAAATTGGTAAGCAGACACAATGATTCAACAGTTGGAAACGATTTTAAAAAGTTTAATCCAAAAAAATTAAGCATTGTCTTATCTTACCAATCTGCTGTCACCTTACCAATGAAGCTTGAGTCTCGCTAATGATAATTTTACGTAAATATGGCACTGTAGATGGCAATTAACTAGCATTCAAGTTGGCGTGAGGTAGGCAGAAAATATTTAATGGTTTCATTATTAACAGTTACATTATAAATAAATTGTTCTAATTAATTTGGTGTGTAAATTAAATTCTTGGAAAAAGTTTGCAGGAAAGCGTGCATGCTTCTGATAAAGCAGAATCGAATGAGGATTATCTTTAACTGCAACTTTCTTTATCGAACGCGCTATATTTATTTTTAATGTTTTATAACAACAGGACACGCTCTTGGTTTTTACCATGAACAGTCCAGACCCGACCGAGATCAGTACGTCAAGATATTTTGGGAAAACATTTCTTCAGGTATCTTTTTTTATTATCAGTATTATTAATTATTATTTTTTTGCTCCGCTCTTTTAATTATAGATCACACAAATAGTTAAGAATCTTTTCCGTAGCCAAGTCACAACGATGATGTGAGAGCGATACTGAGTGATATTAAAGTGGTAATGACAGTTTTATTCAATGAACACTGTTTATTCAAAGTACTGATTTCCAAGTCAACTGAATAATGAGGTTATTTATCTGCTTTAAATGTCTCGATAAGTTTACCTCACGACCCAGTAGGTAAGATCCCAAACAACGTGTTGAGTTCATAATCCCTGGAGCACACTCCCAATCTCATGATCCACTATAGTCAAACTAAAGGTAATGTTACACTGGACGATCCGCAACAACGATTTTTAGGGCAACACAGCGTTGCAATGTTGGAACAATGTTGTAACCATTCGAAACAATGTCGCAACAATGTTGCGACGCTGTGTTGCGCTAAAAATCGTCGTTGCGAATCGTCTCTTGTAACATCACCTTAACGACATCTGTTTTCAATTTTTATTTTTAGGTCATGAGCATAACTTTAACAAATACGGAACGAATTTTGTTACTACTTTTGGGACGCCGTATGATTATAACTCCGTTATGCACTATTCTCGAAGAGCTTTCTCGAAGAATGGCCAGAACACAATCGTCGCACTCAGTGATCCTAATGTAAGATTTCGTCAGAGATAAAATATTGTTGGATATGATCTATTATAATCTGATGACACACAGAATTGGTACATCTTCGCCATTTCGCGATCATGTGTGATGAGATATGCCCCTCATGAATCTGACAGCTAAGTTACTGTCTGTATTTATTTCCTTTTTTTTTTTGAGCTGCTACATGACCCTTTTTTTTTTTTGCCAAAAACAGAATATAAACACAACACTGTGTATTTATCACCTTTAAGCACAGAGCTCATATCCTCGTCATTTCGTCATTTCCGTTTTTTTTTAACAGCACTTTTTTTTTTATTCCAGATTGCCCTTGGTCAAAGACGAGGCTTAAGCAAAATAGACGGGGAAGAAATGAGTTTGCGATACGAATGCGCTGATTTGTAAATGTTTGCTTGTCTTTTTATCTTTTGTGAGCATGATTGTTTTATTTGTTTTTGACAGAGTTTTGGGCGTTATTGCGTTTACTTGCGTTTAGTATATACTGGCATTATAGGGATACAAACTCTTAGGAATTAACGGGATACGGAATATTAAGGCCACAAACCAATGGCAAACGGGATACTCAGAACCCCCTTATTGGGGCCTCTTTGGTCTCTCCCGGTCGGGTACATGTAGTTAAATGCCATACACTCACGTCACATCGCTACGACGAATTTCAAGGTACGTCAATTGCCACGTGAGCTTATAAATTAGCCGGCCTTTCTAACCTTATTAGCATGTGCAAAATACATTAGACCATTTTCGATATATCAGCATTAAATTAATACTTAGCTCCGAGGCTTGGGGGAATAAAACAAAAGAACTGTAGTTTTCATTATTGAGCCTTAAGATGATTTCTTTTGTTTTATTCCCCCAAGCCTCGCAGTCAAGTATGAATTTTAATATATCGTAATTGGTCTATTGAAAAAGGCTAACTATCACGAACATAAAAGAATATATTAATAGGTCTCCATTATGAAAGAGGTCTATATGAGTCGTAAGCGAGTAGAGGGTCTCAGCGGTTATTTAGTGGAAATTTAGTCCAAGAGTTAATTAAGTGAAAATTACCTTCTGTAGAAATTTATTAACTACTGAATTTTGAAGGTTGTCTTTGCCTTTCACGTTTAAAATTTCGAAATATTTTCATATGTAAGCAAGTTGTAAGGTCTTGTAATGTCTGGAGAGAAATGTTTTGAGAACTGGGAACCGGTTTTTCCAATTTAGAGATTCTTCAGGAGGCAGAAGTCTTTAAAGATCAGCAGACATAGTGCCATTTGAAATTTACTTTATTATACTGCTACATGAGAAATTTCTGCAATTTGATTAGCTTAGAGCAGTGGTATTTCAGCTTAATTTGAAATACGTACATGTGAAAATTACAAATCTTGTGCGGGTAGTAGTATAAACAAGTAATAGCACGATTTGTACGTGATATTTGGCATAAATACCACTTGTGATATTTCAAAATTGTTTCAAATTTCACTTGCCTAACGGCTCGTGAAATTACATATAACAATTTCGAAATATAACTCGTGGTATTTATGCCAAATATCACTACAAATCATGCTATTACCTATACTAACTTTACGACTGTTAATATTGATCTGCATTTTGGACGGTTAAGGGTAAAAATTGACCGTTTTTGACTGTTGACAATTAACCCCTTTGAGACCCTGTGCATATAGTTTCATTTTTAGTGCCCTTTGAGATGCGTAACCTTCTTTTTGGATTTGTTTTCAAATTTCATTGTAGGAGCAACTCAGGGTCCTCAGCTGACAACCTTAACGCCAACTGCCCCTTCAACAACCCCTCCCACAGCCCCGCCTACACCCCCTCCTACAGGTAAGTCCAATTGCATTATCACTACCAACACTACAAGCCTGAACGTCATTGCTGATATCAATTACGATCGCATAAATAAGCTATTTGTCTGAACTCTGGAGGCCTGCAAATGGCATGGGATCGATTCTGGATTCTGCGCCGTGGATTCTGGACTCCGAGTACTGGATTCCGGATTCAAATCGTAAGCGGGATTCCTGATTCCTTGAGCTGAATTCTCAGGATTCCGGATTCGAAAAGCAAAACGTTTATGGTTTATCCTTGTTTCATGGCAGTTAATCCATGTGTTCACTGCAGATTGCAAAGACTCCGAGTGGTACGCTGATCAGTGTCCAACTTTGGCACAATACCCAGGGTACTGCCAACACCACCATCAATGGACGAAGAAGTACTGCGCTAAGTCTTGTGACTGGTGTTGTAAGTATTTATTCGATTTCGCTAGATTTAGATGATGCATTTTGCATAACTCCTCTAAGACCGTTGAGTCTAGCTCTAACACTATTAGAAAGAGCTGATGAGTGAAGGGTAAGCTTCTTAAGAAACTGTGGTGTTGAAGGGTTGTTACGCCGCAAAATGTAACAATTGACGCAAAATGTAACATTAACGCGAAATGTAACAACTTTTGACGCGAAATGTAACATTACCCCGAAATGTAACAACTTTTGACGCAAAATGTAACAACTTTTTAACGCGAAATGTAACAACTTTTTGACGCAAAATGAAACAATATTTTTAACGCGAAATGTAACAAGCAAAATGTTACAACCTTGAAATAACTGAGAGACTTGGACATGAGCCTTGTAGATAAAGTGTAAATTGTCTGGTTACAAAAACAGTTTATTTATAAAGTTTTCTTACAATGTCAAATAAACTTACAAAACGTTTTTCGATAATAGTAACTAAATCCCGAAACAGTCGAACGAATTGTTGTTTATTATATCTTTCTGTACTGTATATGTGTGACGCTGAAAAGAAAGTTGGCGTTACAACATCCGGGACGTATTAGATGCGTTAGGATGGTACATTTTAAGCATACTCCCTCTGGAGTGTTGAGCCCATATGAATTCGAGGTGAGTATCGATTACAGATCATTCTTTTCACACTTCTGTCGAGTGAAGACGCTTTCTGTTTTTATCCGAAGCTGTCTGTTTTTGCCCACCTCCTCCCCTTTTCCCTAAAAGGACAGTGTAGCGGAGCAGTCATCCGACTGCGTGAGATAATCAACGGTGTTAAATGGGCGTCGGCATGTTTAAGTTTTAAGGCAGCAGGACTGGGTTGGTATGAAATTTCTCACATTTACTGGAAGTCCAGTAAGAAATGAGAAATTTCATATCTATCTTATTGACTACGTTCAAAATTTTCTTTTGAAAGGTTACCTTTCTTAACTTTTACTTTTAACTTGCATTTCAATTGCTGATTGCTGCGTGTTTCCTACGGTGTTATTGTTCACATTTCTAGTCATATTCTTTTCGCATAGCTTGGGATCATTTTCCATACGTTATGTTTAATAAGTTAGCGTTGTTGTTATTGTCCATACTGCTTTTCCAAGGTTATACATGACTTGTAACTTTATCACCTGTTTTACGACCTTTCGTAAGTTTATTTGACATTGTAAGAAAACTTTATAAATAAACTGTTTTTGTAACCACGGGACAATTTACATTTTATCTACAAGGCTCATGTCCAAGTCTCTCAGTTATTTCAAGGCTGTAACATTTTGCTTGTTACATTTCGCGTTAAAAATATTGTTTCATTTTGCGTCAAAAAGTTGTTACATTTTGCGTTAAAACGTTGTT